AGAACAGGAAAAAGCTCGCGATTGCATATCTGTCTCGCTGTTTCCGATCTGGAGGTAGGTGAGGCCGTTGAGCAAAGCGTGGATGGCTGATGCATAGAGTCTCGAATATGGGTACCCTGCTGCTGGCGGTGTATTTTAGCTGGTTTCTCCCCTGGGCGCTGGTGCAGAGGAATTCCGCTTTTGGTGGTCATATCGAGGGCTATGGGAAGCCCGCTCCTATCAGCTGTGGCGCTAGCTACTGGTACGTCGTATATTCTACACTATTATTAGAATAGATTTCTTGGAATGGATTAAAAAAAAAAAAAAAACCCATCACTCTGGATTCTAACGCGGCTCGTTAAATCACAGGGCACCAGGTAACGAGTGCGGACTCAATGGGTACGAATGCCGGCCGTTTAACCGCTCGACCTATGCCTTTCGGTGTCCTGCATTTTGCAGTAGCCTTCTCGTCCTAGAGCCGTACGTGGTAGGAAATGTGACTGTCAACTACCAGCCTTTGATCGTTGGTGGTCCTATGCCTGGCGCCCCGGTTGATGATTATGAGAATGCGATCTATCGAGCAGACAGCAAAGTTTGCCAAGCTGCAATCCATGCTGGTGTTATCAGCGACTCCACAGGAGGTTGTGGCGTCGTTGAGCTGACTGGCGCCGGCCATTCATACTTCGCCAGCAAGGCGCATGGCGTCTCCTCGGTTGGCTTCCCTTCGACTTTTCCGAAATCATTTAGATTCCTACGTCTGCTGGATTCACAGTCAGACTGCCCCGGAGACTTGCGATGGCCGCTGTTTGCTATTACCGCAGCTGCGATTGTCCTGGTTTCTCTCTTCACGATCTCCCCCGCTGTATTTTTCTTCACCACCTTTTTTATGCTCTTTCTTCATGTGGGTCTCGTGTCTGATCCCCCAGACCTACCCAAAGTTGCAGATCTATTCTCGCTCCTATGTTCAAGACTTCTACCTGCAAGCTTCATTGCATATGTGCTCTACATCTTCTGCGCGCGCCCTCTACTACAACCACTGGCTTCCCCTCCCGTTTACCAGTTCAGTAAAACAATCCTATACCTAGGCCCGGCGTTTATCGGTGCGCTTAACAACTACACTTTTGCTTTATGGATACCCATCCAGCGTCTTACCCCGCACGATATCAAATCCCAGCCAGGTGCCCCCATCGCCCTGGCCATCGTGATCACCATCATCATCTCCATCGTCCTCGGCCAAGCGTGGCACATCCGCCAAGGCGGGCTGTTCTTCCACTATCTAAAAATCTACCTCTGTATTGGCGGCGGCCTGATCTTCCTGCTCGTCCTTCCCCAATTCCGCCTTCGTATCCACCACTACATCCTCGGCATGCTCCTTATGCCAGGCACAGCGTTCCCCACCCGGCCCTCGATCATCTACCAAGGCCTGCTTCTCGGCTTCTTCGTCAACGGTGTTGCCAGATGGGGCTTTGCCTCCATCATCGAAACGCCAAGCGCACTGGGTGAGCTTCCTGGCCCTGGGGGCAGCCATGGCTGGTGGGGCGCCACAAGTCCCAACGTCACCAATTCCTCCGTCCATATCTCGCTGCCGTCCGGCGACAATGTGAACCGAGGTAATGGCAACATAACCTTCCGGCTATGGGAGCCGGAGCGTATGGAGACGCTGGGCGTTGATGGCATTAGTGTGTTGGTGAATGATGTGGAGAGGTGGCGTGGGTTCTTGGACGAGGATGTGAACGGAGTGTTTGTCTGGCATCGACAGGGGCATCGGGGGCTAGATATGTCGAGACCAGCGCGGCTGGTTGTTGAGAGAGCTGGTGTCGATGGACAAGAGTATGAGGATGACGATACCTCTCTTATATCAGTGCAGGATCAAGATGAAGATCCGGCTGAGGATCTGTTCTTCCGCTTTGCGTTTTTGAAGGGTTCAAAGGTTGGGCTTTATGGCGGCGCTGGAATTTGGAATAGAGATGGCAGCTGGATAAATCCTCCTCCTCCGAGGACTTGATTTTCGTGTTCTATTTCTCTTTTCATATATTGCGTGTGTGGGTTTTGTTCTCTGGGGTCTACTGGGGGAAGGGAGTGGGAGGCCCGCTGCTTTTGTTCCCTTGTTCATGTTCACGATCGGTTTCTGCTTTTACATTGCCGCGAGGCAATCGATCACCAAAATCCTAGACGGTCCGGCGTTTTTTCGTCTATTGAATAAGTATATCATGTAAACATCGCTTCCTTGCTTTTCCTTTTTTTTTTTTTTTTTTTTTTTTTTTACCCTCCCTTGTTCCTGTTCCTTTCTTGTTTTATTTTTCAGACTCTTGTAACGTGTTGGACACCTTTTATATTCCCTTTATTATTTGCTTCTGCTGTTACTGGAGTCGAGTGGAGGTGACAATACGAATATGGAACGGGCCACTGTACGGTGCGGGCTGGTCGATATGAACGAATGGTTATTACGGTGGTATGCGTGAGAGATAAGTTTCTATACCATATTATATAGTTTATATATGCGTATATGCGTTATTATAGAAGCGGGGCCTTTGGGGGCGGGGGGGGGGGAGGGTTGGATAGAAGAAATTGGTTGTTCAGAATAAGGCTCCTATTTATCCCACCCCCTTTATGTTGATTTATAATAACATTCCC